ATTGAGCTATATTGTCAAATCACTAAATTAACATGGAACAATAGTCAATGTACCAAAGTGGGTTTTTTTAGTCAATTTAAGATTATATAACAATGTCCAGACACATTGAAGGCACAAATATATCTGGGTCCAGAATAAAAAGCTGTATAAGCTACTGTATCAGCTGTTACGTATAACGGGTAAAATAATATTGTTCTGCAATAAGTAATGTACCTGCTTATAAACTAATTCAACATATTCCCCTGGAAGTTTGTGAAAGCATGATAAGCAATGGCTTAAAATGAAAATTTTCAAGTTTTCTAAGTATAATTAACCTATTACAGCCGATTCTCACACAGGTTCTTTGCAATTGAACAATAATTTGGCAAAGCAGAGAATTCTTGCTTAAATGAAAGAGTGAGCATTTTTCATATCTCTGTGTAGCTCAACAGCTTTTTATTTCTAATAACAGTAAATCAGCATCTTCTCTATTTTTCCAAACAGAACGCTTTGTTCACGGTAAGGTAAAGTTAAATCTGCAAGGCAAGACAAACAGAAAAAAACCCAAAACTTAACTCATGTTTCTATGACAAAATAATTACTTTAACTCTGACAAACTCATGTAAAATATTTATTTTTCTTAATATACAAAATCCTTTTCTTTCAAACAGTACTGCAAGGCAGGAAAGAGAAGGTAATTACCACATAACTGTATGACAGCAATTTATTAGAACTATTACTGCTGTATTTCGACACTATATGTAGTTTCCCTGACAGGAAAATTTCCTTCCTGGGAAATGGAATTATATACATATATAGATTTGCAATGACCATGTAGGGTTGATTTTAAGTGGAGCAGCCTTCCACCACTTCTTCCATGGGGCTTGTTGTATTCTGATTTGGAGATCATTGGTGTAGAAATAATGCTGGAGAAACAAGAACTTGAAACAAACATACAGACCATATTTTCTCCCATCTGCCATCCTGGTCTTACGGGTTTGCTTAGTAACCTCAGGAAGGTCCAATTCCAGTTCAAGGGTGGTCCCTTCAGAGGTTTGGCACCTCACTTCTGTGGGTTCCTATGTTACCCTCCAGCTTTCTTCCTCTTGTGTCAAAAACGATTTCAGGAAGAGGTGAAGAGAGGAAGGCACGGCTAGGAGGTTCATGACATTCAGCGAGCTTCTGGGTTTGGCCCTTCCAGGCTGTTCGCAGCTCAGACAGCAGCGCCTGAAGGCTGCCTAAATATTGGGAAAAGTAGGACAGGCAGCCTGGAGCTACAAAGCACGGAGGGGATGCCAAAGTAAGCTGGTACTCCAGCAAGGATGGGGCAGGGAACAAATTCTCTGCGACTCAATCTCCCTGCCTGTCAGGTAGGGCTATCCCAAAATCAAGGCTTTGACCAATGTAGACACTTTGGACGCTTCACCAGATGTAGTACACCGGAGAATGCAAAAAGAGGCAGGATTAGCACAGAAAGCAGTAAACAATACATATTATTGCTAGCTTCTTCTTGAACAGATTTCAGATCGCTTTTATTAATGTCATGTTTCCTCTAACATTGAGAAATAAATTATTTTGTTATGTGGCACATGTGCCTTTTACAGATTCTTATGTGCTAGAACTTGTCTCTCATCCAAAACGTTTTGCCAATGTCTTTTTTTTTTAATGGTATTTGATTGGAAGTAAAAGAGAAAACAACCCTCTACCAAACTGAAATGCCATTTTCACAAACTTGCTGAAGTAGCAACTATCCCAATGGTCTGGGAATGTCTCCATGTGTGTGAGAGAGGAAGGAGGTTACAAAGATAATTTCATTAAGTCTTAATTTATGCTTTTGTAGTTCCATATTTGGAATCAAAAAGTGAGCTATGAAATATTTCCAGGGGTAAGAAAGACACAGGTTTTTAATACAAAAGTCTGCTCGTACAGGAATAAAAAGAAAACCCTTTATAGAGTCCTTCAAGTTTTATGAATTCATTTAGCCATCCACAGCATCTGTGATCTATCACTGTATGTGGAGAGGGAGAAAAAGATTTTCCAATAACATTAATGGTAGTAGACACATTTGGATCATGATAACTCTACCTACATCTGCCATCTGGACTAGTGCATCTTTTCTTCTTCTTCAGTTATTAAACTTAAAAATAAAGGATTTTATTTGTTAATGCTTTGTTCCAAACAGGCAAATCTAGTCTATTTTATTTTGCTAAAGGTAGGATAAAATTTAGATCTATTACAAAAGTGAAAAAAGGAACACTATCATTTATATATAAATTAACAGTTGGAGTTTTTTCCCCAGAAATCATATAGAAAATCAAGGTAAATAAATGCTGAATGGATTTAACAAATATCCATACTAATACCTCAAACGTTGTCACAGGATCTCGAAACAACGTACTCTTTTCAGCAGATCCTGAGATGACCAAAAGTTTCTTCACTTCCATAGGTTGGTAAACGGAAACGCACTTTTTAGAATGATCCAAGGGTTTAACCTAAGGTATCACATTTCTGAGCGTCAAAGACAATGATCATTAAACATTACCAGTCCCTTTCTGCAAATGAGATCCAAAAGGCACTGAGACACATCCCACGCAAATCAGATTGGAACGATGTAAGAAAACAAACGGTCCTCTTCACTTACCACCCCACAGTTGAAGGCTATCGTTCCCTTGGCCGAGACTTAATTAAAGAGGCCATTGTAAAATATTCACTGAAGAAACGACTGCTCTAGCGTGAAGGGCTACTGCCCTCAGAGCTGCTTGTTCACCCACTTCTGCAGAAGGTTTCCACCAGCACGGGAGAGCTGGCAGGGCAGCAGGTCAGGGTTTCCCGCACCTCCCTCAGTGTGCAAAGACGGAGCAATTCCCATCCACTCGGTAGCACACAACCAGGAGAAACTGCAGCCTGCCAAGTTCTTGAGACAAAATAGCAAGAAATAGCAACCAAAGAGCATTATTTTTAATATCAAGGAAAAATAAATAATTTCTATGCTGAGTGAGTCAAGCCTTTATTGCTAAACCAGCTTAAATTAAAGCAGGTGGCAAACCGCTATGCTCTGTAAGCACTGAAAGCACAAAAATCAGTTTCACAAATTATTTCTTAACATTCCAGTTGTAGCAAGCAGGAGATTCAGAAAAGCTCATTTTAATTAAAAACTTTATTTTTCATTACAATTCACAGTTTATACATGGCAAGACGAACCGTCGCCATGTGGACATTCAGAACACTGTGCTGGGGAGACAAGGGTCTTTGTTATAAGAGCATTGCTCGGTGCTGTGTCATGGAACTTCCTTAGTTTTAAAAGCGTACTCTCTGTAAATGTTAATTGACTGATATTTACACTGGATCGACTGAATTTACATATTAACTTATATTTATTAGAAAACAAGCTAAGCATCCAAAAAACATTAACATTCATATCTTGCATGTTATCTAATGGTCAGAGATGCTGTAAGATTTGCCACTTGAATCATGCCCAATCAGCAAAGTCCCGTTCTTCTTTAATTTACACAGAGCCTAAATTATTCTTTAAGGCCTGTTCTACTCATTTTATGTACAGCCAGGTTACAATAGACTAACATAAGAAAAAAAATGCAAAATTATCCATTCCATCCTGCATTTCTTCTGAATCTCATGTACATCTATAAGCAAAACAAGAGATACAAAATTAAAGGTAATGTGTTTTCTTAAAACCAATAAAGAAAACCCATAGTCTGGTTTAGATCTGCTTCTTGTCAGCCTATCCTGTCTGAACAATCATCGGTATTCAGATTGTGCTATTTATCAGCTCTTCTTCATGCCTGCACTTATATTCAGAGCCATCTCTCTTTGAAATGTAGAAAGTCACAGTGATACCAGTTTCAACTGCGTTCCCACGTTAGTCACAGCTCCGGCACAGGCAGCCACCGTACACTGTGACATTCAGGAAAGCACTCCAGCAGGATTCCTGGGTAAAATATCGTATGGCGTCTGGTGTGACTCGACTTAAAGAGGAAGTTAAGAATCCTCTTCCTAGAGCAAATATCTGGCAGAAGGTTTATGCTTATTAAAAATCGCTGTATTTTCCTGCATTGCTTTCTGGATGTGGTTATTAGAATACAGCAATTAAAAGCCTCTCCTGCCTCTCCTCAAAACGGTAATTTTTATTTGCTCTTGTCATCTACCAAATAATTTAGTGGTAGATAAACTGTAGATTTTTTTGGTACATCTGACGCAGAGGAAGAAAACAACTCTGCTGAACACTGCTTGAAAAAATAAGACCCGAGGAGGGTCCGCAAATTCTACAAGTCAGTGCGAACAAGTATCAGCTGGACCTGAGTAAAACAAAATGCTTCTGGGGGACATGTTTGCAACTTTTGAAACCGCAGTGCCTTTAAATTTAGGGCTAAGAACATCACTTGATGATTGTTTAGTTTTGGCATTCATTCATGCTGGTTGGTATCTTCACGACAGACACCTTTAAAACACCATCGTTTCAAGGAGAATGAAAGCTCAAATGAAATACACTTCTCATGCAAAAAAAACAACCAAAAAAAACCATACAGGAACTGCAGAGGTTCTGGTTCTTCAAAAGATAAGGCACTGACAAAAATTTCTTAGGTAAAAGGCTGCATAAGAATTTCTTGCCATTTACAAGTGTGTTGTAGTCCAGAAATGGTCTATTTCTAGGCTCAGTAAGGTAGACCCTGAAATTTTAAGGACTGATCCCTCAAAGCTACATTGTTACCATAAACAAGTGTGATTCATTCTTGAGGCCATATGGCACATTAGGAGAAGTGAAAAACAGTCTGGGCAGATAAAGGCAGAAGACGTTGCTTGTTCCAGCATCTTTCGATAACAGAAGTGCCATTCATCTTTGTGTCTTTGAAGAGATGCGATGGTAACTCTGGACTGTAGTTTCTGTGGAACTCATGCACACATATAAAATGCTGTCAGCATTGATCATCGACAGGGTGGAGAAAAAAAGGTAAATGGCCAGTCTAAGCCAAGAGCTTCTCAAGGACTGGGATCCAAAGTCACGGCTACTTAATGTTTTCAATAACAGCTATCTCTTCTGCCGCACAGTGTGGTGTCAAACCATTCATGTAAATGCTGTCCGCCTTTGTTAGAGCTGGCAAGATGTCCTTCTCACTGGTGAGATGGTTGACTGACAGGGTTCTCTTGCAGGGAGTCAGGTCTTGATTGTGGTTGACGGCGAGTTCTGCGGAGAGCTTCCTTTTGATAGAGGTAGCCCGCTGGAACTTGTCGTAGATCTCCACACTCAGGCGCCTTCGAGTTTCTTTGAACTCTGCGGTGACGTTGGCTGTCCACTCCGCAGCATGGGCTCGGAATTCCCCGACCTGCAGCAAAAATGAGACAAAAAAGAAGCATTACGGGGCCAAGGACTTTAGACACTGTTTAGGCTCGAGAGCCCAGTGAGAGCGCAATGAGCCATCAGGCTTGCAAAGAGCTGCCGCTGCTGCCAGCACAGATTTCTCATGCTGCACGCTCGCTCTTTTATTGGTAGCAACTCAACAAGAAGAAATGTCGCACTAGTAAGAATTAACAATGACTCCAAAAACACAATAAAAATCTTTTCTGCTGAATTTTCTTTAATTGTAGGCAGTCAACAATAGAGGGAAGCTGCGGAGCCCTGACAGCTGCACAGTACCCAGCTGGTCAGGGGCTGCTGAAATCCCAGCAACCCAGGCTGCGTTCTGTATTGTTACGAGGGTGCAGGGTTATTTATGAGCACTTTTACTGTCTCTGGAAGGATCCCTGGGAGACTTGGCAAAGAATCTTCTAAATTTAGACAGAAAAGCTTTTTTAAAGGAAAACGTCAGCTGCTTGTGTTCTCTCTTTTTCATGCTCGCTGAAACGTAGCACTAATAACAGAAGCAGTTTCAGTCATGTCAGCAACACGTCTGCTTACCACCCTGACCCCACCGAAATGACATACTAAAAAGCAGCATGAAGACAACTGCAGAGAGGGACTCCGGGAGCTGTTCCCGATCACACCCAAAGGAGATGCAACCCGCCAGTCGCCGCACACAGCTGCTGTACAATTATCAAACAGCTGGAGGGGGGTATTGCCACCGCCAAGCCTAGATCTCCAGTCAGGTTGGCTGAAAGGTGCTGTTTCGTACCATCACCACCATTTCACAAATGCATGTATATCCCCCGCTGCCCACTCATTTCCTATGCTCTAACTCTATACATCCTTATATTGACAGCCTTTATGGCAGGCTGTTCCACTTCCACTAAAAAACCCCATAATTTTTTACCCCTTAAGATTTCTTTCCACCATTTCTGTGTTTCAGTACCAGGAAAGCTGGAGCATTCCCTGAGCCCAAGCTCTGAGGGTAGGGCTGAGGAGGGGGAGGAAGGCAGCTGCTAGCACAGAATCCCAAATTATCCTTATTTTTCCCAAGACAGTGCATGAGGTAGACTAAGCAGCTCACCCAGACGGTAGTCTGAGATGAACTATGGCCTTGTAATTTATGTTATTTATATTTTTGCTGTTGTATTTCAACCAAACCACTGTTACAATATTACATAAATTATATAGGTAATTAAAGGAGACACCTTTTAAGGATGTTATCTCATTATAACTACAAAGGAAATAGATTGTTTCTCTTTAAATCTCTGCTTTGTAGGCAGTTTAATAGTTGGAAGGTATAGCACAGGGAAGATAGACTGCTGATAAATATAACTCCAAAGCAAAGCATTTCAGAAGAATTAACACACTTAAATAAATTAGTCTAATTGGTACTGCTCAGTCCAGAATTTCAATCATTGGCAAGCAATGTCTGCCATGGTGAGCACAGAAATAAAAAAAAAACTAAAAAAAATGATCACAGAGAAATATGGGGGGGTAAGCCATCAGAGAAAAGTGGCCACAGGCTTATTCATGCTTTGCAGTGCAGTGGAAAACAGGAATATAATGAAGGTAAAAAATAATCAGCTCACTCAGGAGCGACAGGGTTTCAGGAAAACTTTCCCCCTCCAGAAACAAGACAAAAAGATCTCTTTACCCAGGGGTCATTTTATTACATTTGTCTCAGCTTCAGTGAATTACACAGATGACTAATGTGGACCCATTATGTGTATTTTCTAAAACAAGGATTATTTTCCGTAATACACAGAGGACTCGCCCAGCTGAATGATTATTAGTATTTAAATTGGGCAATTAGGATCAGACACACTGCACTTCAGATCTGAAAATAATGAAATCTGTAATGCTGAAACATTTCAGCCGCTACAATTTTTTTTTATTTATAGTCAACAAGTAATAAAAATATGATAAGCAGTATCAGTGCACACCCAGGGCAGCTTCGTCCTTCTCCGAAGCTTCACTAAAGTCAGGCTGTGCAGGTTCCGGAGCATGCTTCTGCCCAGGGAAGCAAAGAGCCAGTATATGGGTTCCTATTTTACCCTACACATTTGTGCTCTTCACCAGCTGTGTAAGCATTCACCAGACCAGTTATTTTGCTCAGGCACACATCTCTGGCATTGCCTGTGGTCACATTCAAGGGATGTTATCAGACTGGTAGCTTTATGGTGTCTTGGCTACCTACTGGAAGTTACAAGCACCTTGACCTGTCTTCCCATGTGGTTTTTAACCTTCCTTTTACCAGTAGTTTAATTTCCCACTTCTCTAATGTTTTCCCAGCAAAGAAAAAACAGCTGACCATGCTTCTGATGAAAGCATGCCTGTGTAACCCCTAGCATAGACTTGGAATTCCCTCGCCAGCCCACCCAACCTCGTGCTGGTGATGGACCCGCCTTGAACAGGGCAAGCTGCTATATTTCAACTCTTGTGCATGTAAGTTATTCAGGAGAATTTTAAAATTGTAGTTGTTAGGATATCTGACTACTAAATTCCAATTAAATTTCTTTTGGGAAGAATGTTTATGCAGCCAGCTGACAAACATCATTAAATATGTCTTTGGAGATGGGCTCATGTTCCAATTAAGGTGATGTGGAACATAAACATGGTGGACTGAATCCTATCTTCCCATAGACCAGAGCTATGATGTTGCTTGGCACAATCTGAGTTTTATATTAAAATCATAGAAAAAAAATGAAAAATGAAGTGCTATTGCTAAGCAGAATTGAAATGCATTAGTAGTAAAACAGAGGTAATTGGCACAGCATGAGAAACTAGAAGTTCAGTGCTGTGTGAACTATGCGTGCCCCAAATTACTGCTTTCAGCCCCTAGCTGTTGTGTGAACTGAAATGCACTCCAAAATGTTATCTCTTCAGAATAAAACTCTTAATTCCATAGCACTTACAGACTCAAGCACAAAAGGTTATAGGAAAGGAAATGTGCAGTTTTTAACTGCCAGTGTACATAAGCAACTTGCTTTTATAATTTGATCCCTCCTTTATCCATAGGGACATTTCTGTATATGTTCAGGTTCTTTCTGTCCTTAGGGTATGACATTTTATCATACTGCATTACAGCTCCTCTTCATCTGGGGGCTGACAGCCGCAAAATGTCTTATGCAAAGTGATTGAAATGCCAGTTGCCTATGCTGCTCCAAAAAAAAAAAATCTTAACGTACCTACCTACCATAACAATTGTTTGCTTTTCTCCAATTCTCTTGCCTCATTACAGCACACAGCTCTGTAGACTCTGCAGCTGTCATAGTTGGGGGCAATGTGACATGAGGACAAGGCCTCTTAGTCACGGAAATTATTGACAACTAAGTACTTTACATAAGGCTAAATGACACAAAATATTTCAAAAGTAATAGGAAAAACATGTCACAGTGACAGCTCCTGACTCAGCCATACAATAAGCAGCACTAACCTGGTGATGCTGCTCACTCCCAGTCTTTGGGGAATAGAAATGCCACCGGTAATGGGGCCGCAGGCCCTAGCCCAGCTCCAGGATTGATTTCCTCCACATCAAAATCCAAATTAGACTGCAAGGTATTAGCCATATTTTGCAAGGAGCATCAACTCTAACATATTAACATTGGACTTTGAACACAAACATCTAGTATCTTTATTAGGTATTTATGAAGCAATACCTGACTGCCTTATGAGTCCAGGGAAGACAGGTCTCAATGACAAATTCTTAAGAAATATGGTAATGGTATACACAATAAACATTCCACACAGCACATTTCACCACAAAAAAATAGATACTTTTCTATCAAACAGCCAATTCTATGCCCAGCACAGGCTGCGCGGCCTCCAGCTACCACTGCAGATGGGCCTGGATATCCACCTGCAGTGGAAATGTCACATTTAGTCTCTTAGGATATAATGAAGATTACCCTCTGAACAATTTTGAAGCATCTATACTTATTCCTGTTAAAGTCACTTCTGATTTTTGGGGGAGTTTGTCTGTTTGTTTTTAATTACACATCCAAAAAATACTGCATGAACTTCCTGAGTCACCAAACAGTTCCAGGCTGCGCACATAACGTTATCACCACTATCATTTAAAGACAGACATACTGAATTTGACAGAACTATGAAAAAAACATGGACATTAAACAACCATTCCTTTACCTATTCCTGCCAGAACTCCTCTAAATTAATAATGACCTAAAGCTGGCTCTCAGTCAGTGTCACTGGCGAGACCAAAACTCTCTATTCGTTTTCATCACCACCATGTTTTAGCTTTCTCACTGTCTAGCTGAGCTCCATGCTTGGATAGAGGCCAACAGCATAACCCAGAATGTAAGTATGTCCAAGGGGATGCTACTGCTAAAAAACCCCCAGCATTTGAAGATACTGAAGCACCTGCTTCCTTCTTCAGTACATTTACTCTAACTCCTTATACTTGTCAGGCGTTTGGGGATCTTTCTGGACACTCCGCTCGCAACAGATATCCAAATAATTATACAAACAAAGCTGCCCACCATGCAGAAAGACCACTCGTCCTATTAAGAGTGGTCTGGACAGCACAAGCCATGTAGCCATAACCTTTACATGAGTAATCTGTACTTTGAATTAAGCCACATCTGTGGTCTAACGGAAAAAAAACCCACAACCCTTATCAAAGACATCCTTAAATAGGCCAGAAAGAATACAGACTTGTCTAACTTAACTCTGCTCTTCTCCTCTGTCTCAGGGAGATTCTTGAAAAATCCCAACATTACAGTATAACCAGTTAATCTACTTCTACTTACAGAGTGGGAAGAAAGATATCCTGCTTGCATAGGGCTCAGATATACAGCATGAAAGTTATGATATACTGGGGAGGAGCTAAACCACAAAGTACCAAATAAGAAAAAAATTAACATTATATATGCTAAGCAAGAAAATGAAAATATGTATTTCTAAATAATGTGTGCAGCTTTTTCTTTCATAGCTGTACTTTACGTTGTTTCCTTCGGCATA